GGCACGGGGGGGACGACGGCTCCTGTCCCGACACCATGGGCCCTCTCCTGCGAACCCTCTGCTTCCTCCTGCTCCTCACCTCCTGCCCCTGCGCCGTCATCACCGGGGTAAGTGCCGGGTCCCATCCCCAACCTGGGAAATTTGAAAAAAAAAAATTTTTTATTATTATTATTATTATTTGGGGGAAATAAAGCAGGAATCGGTGCCTTTCGCTGTTTGCTTTGGGGTAAAAAAAAAAAAAAAAATAATGGATTTATTACTCATTTTTTCGACACACGGATGCTGTTCTCGCAGCCAGCCCCAGCCCACGTGAAGGTAAAGTCGCGCCGGTCAGCTGCTCTTTCCGCTTCCCTTCTCGGCACCGTGTCGAACCCGGCCCACAGGAAAATGGGGAATTTTAGGAAGTTTTCCAACAGGGCAAAAATAATATATCTTTACGGGCATCCCCCGGAGCATGTTCTCAACTGGGACACGGGCTTGAGCATCCCGGATTGCCTTTTTCCCTCCCAGATTAAGAGGAATTATTAAAAGGCAGGGGGGAAATGTCGGGATGCAGAGGAGAGGTACGACGCTTACCCCGCTGTGTTAATGGGATTTCGGGGCTCGGCGTGTCTGAGAGCTTTGTGCTGAGCTGGACCAAGGGTGATGCTAAAAGCAAGAGGAGCGGCGAGTTTTGGGGATGAAATCCAGGCTTTTGTGGTGCTTCAGGAGTCAGGATGCTCATTTGGGCAGCTCCAGGTTTGGCTGAACTCCCTCCGCTATTTCCCCTGGCAGTGAAAAATCAGTTTAAAACCAAGAGGATGCCTTTGCATGCCGGCTGCCTCTCTGCCTCCCGGCTTTTCCCAACCGCTGGGAATTTTGTGGTTGATTTCATCAGGCTCTTGGCTCCTCTTTTCCCAGACATTCCCTATAGTTCGACCCATTTCTTTCAAGGCTGTGATTTTTTTCGGCCGGGTCTCCCCAAACCCCTACACACACCAGTTTGCAGGAGAGGGTCCATCGTTGCTAATATCTGAGTTTTACCGGTATTTGGGTGTTACGAGGTGCTTCGGATGCTTGAGAAGAACCAGGTTCCCTTCAGGAAAGGGGAAACTCTTCAAAAATCCTCTTATTGCCCCCTGACGAGAGAGCTGCACCCCAAAATCACCCTCCTCCAGCCATCGCTCTCGTGTGTTTTCCCCGGTTGCAATTCCCACTCCTCTTCGTCCGTAGGAGCGCCGTGCTCGTGGCGGGGGAGAGGGGGGGAGGAGGGCGATTCAAGGCTCCGCGCTTGGGCCGGGGTGGGAATTTGCTCCCTCTTCCTCTCCATCCCCACCAGCACCCGGGACCCGCGGGGCTCAGCGCTGCCAAACCTCACGTGGGGGCTTTAAAACGCGCTGGTGGCCAAAGGGACAGGTCCTTGTTTAGGGCTCACAGGGATGCTCGGAGCAGGGGGGGTGACCCCGGGGAGGGGGGTTTGGGTGACCCCCATGGGTGCTTCTCGTGCCACCAACCCCGCCATCGGGAGAAGGGGTCAGGGAGGAGGTCAGGGGGGTGCGGTGAGCTGCTCAACAGCCTGGGGGAGGGGAAAGGGGTCCCGCCTGGTGCTCGAGGTGCCCCCATCCACCTCTTCTCAACAGCCTCACGGCCTTCCAGGTGTGGCGGTGCACGTTTGTATCCGTGCCTCAGTTTCCCCATCCCGGGGGGGTTTAGACGTGACCCTTCCCTGTTTGGCATCATCTGCCTCGAGTGGGAGAGGCTGAGTTGTTGGTATTGCTCTGCTCCCTAATAATAATAATAATAATAATAATAATAGCAGTGGGTATTTGCGTTCTTTAGCAGGTTTTACAGGCTCAGACGGGCGACGCATGTGCACGCCGGAGGGTTTATCCCCTGCCACCACTGCTCGGACTTGGCACCGATGCTGCTTTTAAGTTGGGCAGCCACGAAGTTCTCCTCTGTCCCTCCCATCACTTCACGCACGTGGGGATTTCCCCCTTTGTCCTGCAACCCCCAATACCACCAGTCCAACCTCTGCCCTGCCCCAGCTTCAAACTGGAAGGGGGGAGATGACTAGACAATGGACTAGATGATCTATCTCTAGAGGTCCCTTCCAACTCTGAAAATTCTGTGATTCTGTGAGATTTAGATGAGATATTAGGAAGAAATGTTTCCCTGTGAGGGCGGTGAGCCCCTGGGGCAGGGTGCCCCGAGAAGCTGTGGCTGCCCCATCCCTGGAGGTGTTCAAGGCCAGGTTGGACGGGGCTTGGAGCAACCTGGGCTGGGGGGAGGTGGCCCTGCCCAGGGCAGGGGGTGGGAGTAGATGGTCTTCAAGGTCCCTTCCAACCCAAACCCTTCTATGATTCCATGAGAGTGCTCTCCCCTCCACCCTTCCCAATCTGAGCCAGTGGAGAACCCCAAACCTCCTCTTCCTTAAATCCCCATCAAGGTCACCCCCAGCAGTTTGGCGTGGGCTGATTTCTCCACTACCCCCCCTCCCCCTCCCTTCCCCCCAAGCAGAGGGCCAACGATGCTTTCCCGGGCTGGTCCCACTAACCCCCCCTCGTCCCTCTCCCCAGGCCTGCGAGCGGGACCCGCAGTGCGGCGCCGGGACCTGCTGCGCCGTCAGCCTCTGGCTGCGGGGGCTGCGGATGTGCACCCCCCTGGGGCAGGAGGGGGATGAGTGCCACCCCTTCAGTCACAAGGTACCGGTGTGGGGATGCCCAGTGGGACTGGGATGGGGTGGGACGAGGGCTGGGAAAAGGGCTCGGAGCGTGGGAGAAAAGCTCCGTTAAAGCCCTGGGATGGAGAAGGGGGTCGGTGTCGAGGGGGGGTGGGGTGGGTTTGGGATGAGGCTCTGGGCAGCATCGTGGTGGTCCCTGAGCCAGTTTCATCCTATATAAAGTACTTTAAGCAAACCCCTGCCTGTCCACATCACCCTAAATCCTCGGGATGTCCCATGAGTGCCGCGGATCTCGACTGGGAGCTGGGACCGAGCCGCCCACCCCATTCATTTAAAAGAAAAGCGCAGTCCAAGTGGAGATGTAAACGCTCCGCCGAGCGAGGAGAAGCCCAGTTAATGCCGCAGAGCCGCCCCAGCGCCACGATTTCTGTCCGAGCAGAACCCTCAACGCACTGGGATTAGCCCAAAGCGCGACGCTGCCGCGATCTCTCCTCCGTCAGGATTTAGCGGCAGCATCCCGGCCCCGGGGGGAGCATCCCGCTCTCCGCTCCCAGATTGATTTTGCACGCTGGCGGCAAGATTTAATGATGCTGCGCCTTCTGCTCGCGCAGGGAAGGAGCGAAGGGCTTCAGCGGGATCAAAAATTAATTTCAGGCATATCCCCATTAAATCTCCGAGAAGAGCCGGAGCTTTTCTCAGGGTTTTGTTCCCATTTGATCATTTTTTGGTGCGGCAGAGCCCTGATGCCCTTTTCTCTCCCGTATCTCTCCACAGGTCCCTTTCTTCGGGAAGCGCCAGCACCACACCTGCCCCTGTTTACCCAACTTCATATGCTCCAGGTTCCTCGACGGCCGCTACCGCTGCTCCCTCGACTTCAAGAACATTGATTTTTAGGGCGATGCTCCCGGCTCTCCATCTGCGAGACCCCAGTGCCCATTTCTCGCCCTCTCCCGTGGCCATCGGTTGCCCACGTAGCACCAGGCAACCTTAAAAGTGCTTTTCCAAGGTAGACAGTGTTGTTATAAGCTGTATGTTATATGGGGAAACTGAGGCACGGTCAGACCCAGCTGCTCCGATGTGTGGCTTAGTAAAGCTCTGCCCCAGCCCGGAGCTGGACCCGGCTCCAGCCTCCAGGAATGGCTCAAAGGACAGTGGCCGTGGCCTCAAAAAACCCCTTTCACGAGGTGTTGTCTGCATGTAGTGGAGGCTATCCTTTATTTTATGCCGTAAAAACCAAGGGTGATGTCATTTGGGAAGGGTGAAAGTAGATGCCGAGCACCCAGCAGCCCAGCGCTGCCTCCCCTGGTTTTTATCCCGGCTCCCGATAAAAAGGGGGATGGTGAAGCTGAGCAGCATCACTTCATCTGCCGAAGGGTCCGCGGGGCCCGTCCCAGCGGCGATGGGGGCGATGGAGCCGGGGCTCGCGGTTTTTCCACCCTTCTCGCTCGTACACTAAGAAAGACACAAAGTCAGAGGGGCAGAAACTTCCTTTTCTGGGGAGTTTCAGCCATTTCCCTACCATTCCTACCGGATAAAACCATTTCTGTAAGGGCAATTCCCAGCGCGGTATTGCCTGATTGTGACTTATCAGCCTATTTTTTATTTTTTTTTTCCTGGAAGCAGCTCTTCAGGCTGGCGATGGATGGTCTCGTCTAGCCGGCAATTAAAAGAAATCGATTCCAAGTAGGT